GAGGAAGACTGGCCCTGGGCTAACATCCATGCCCATCTTCCTCCACTTTATATGGGACACCGCCACAGCATGGCTTGCCAAGCAGTGCATCGGTGTGCGCCAGGGATGTGAACCGGCGAAGCCCAGGCCGCCGCAGTGGAGCGCGCGCACTTAACCGCTTGCGCCACTGGGCCAGCCCCACCAATTACTTTTAAATACTATATTAAGTTATATATTAGATGAACTCACTATTCAAGTACCAATATCTTCTACCTAAGCTTAAAGTTGTAACATTTAAGTTATTAACATTTTTGATTTGTTTGACAAAAATATGGACGTTCATAAACATGAAATAGAGAACATAATGACTACATACTTTAGCTGGCAAGTCACTCCTTTTGAGTAGACAGGATAGGTTTTGTACGCAAAGTAAGACAGACCCCAGTATCTAATCTCTTGACAAGAATAAGAATCCATGCACTGTGGTTGTGATAGGTACATCTGTAAATGTAAAACCATCATGTAATGGAATTTAGATATTTTGTCGATATATGACTAAGATGAATTACAACCTTCCATTAGAAAGCAGCTGATATGAAATGTAAGTAACGTAAAACAATTAATGTATATGGGAATTACAATATGTATAAAATTATGTTGAAATTTTTAAAAATCAACAAGAAAAAAAAAATCAATAGAAATAGAAGACAATATCCTGTTATCATGGAAATAAATAAATACTGAGTAACAATGAACAAAGTGGCTTTCTGGTAAAAAGTATAATGTGTCTGCATCAGGTGAGCCCGATCTACGAGCCCCGTGGATAAGCAAGCCCCAGATCCTGACCACTGTACCCTACACCCCAACAAACTATGTAACGCCCACGTGGCTACTCCTGAAGCTGTCAACCAATGACTCACCATGACGTACCACACTCAGCATTTACATATTAACTTCATATCAATTTGCCTTTCTGCAGAAATATTTTAGGAAGGCAAAAAAGATCTTCATGAAAATCTGCACATTGCATGTTCATACTCCTGCATAATATTTTCATAACATTTTTTAAATGTTTGAAAGTCAGTTATAAATTCTGCTGCAGCTAAGTGATATTCCAGACTAATATAAAATAATTTTATAATATTACCAAAATGTATCATGGAAATATTTGTAGAAATCTTTATAAATAAATAAACACTATCATACACAAAAGCAGACCAGAAACCAGACATATGCAAGAAGGCAAAACAATGGGAAAAGGACAGTATTTAATCGATGGTGCTAAGACAATTGGTTATAAATCTGGAAAAATAATAAAATTGGATTCCATACCTCACAATGTTGATGAAAATAAATTATAAGTAGATTAAAGATCTAATTGCAAAAATTGAAGTTTAAAATGTTTAAGACTTTGAGATAAGAATAAAATTTCTTAAACAAGGCACAAAAAACAAAGAATAAAACTTCAGTTCAAAAGACACCACAAAGTGACTGCGGTCTCATCTGCCCAATTCTTTTGTGAAGCTCAGAAAAGCAGGACAACCCAAGTGCACCGAAAGGCCCATCAACTTCTCTTAACCAGTGAGAGCTTCTAAGTGCAATTCCTCACAGCAGTAGAAACTGCATTTATTTGTCTTAACAGGCTGAAAATGGTGACACCAAGACTAATAAGACTTCCCTGTGTTAAGGGACAATTTTCTGGCTCACTAGCAATGAATCCAATTTTGTCCACAAAAAAAGTGGGTGTGAACTTCACACAGAGATTAAGAAAACTTAATTAGCAATATCCATAAAACTAAAGGATGTGCATACGAGAGAAAACAAATACCTTTAGCCCCAATAACGGGGATGGTGCAAAGAAAGTATTGTTTACAATAGTAGTCGAAAATCAGCAAATTCTTGATAAACTACATCAATGGATCAACATCCAGAATGGCTTACATATGGTCTGTCTGGAGTGTCACCCCAAAATCTCTCAAACCCAAGCATGTAAATCAACCAAAAGCTTGACCTGGAGGGTCAGGCCCAGCTAACTTTCTAGAAATGGTGTGAAATGTTAGTTCAGTTTCAATCTTAATTACAAAGTCTTTTGTTTTTCTACCTCTGCCCCTAGCTTATGCTGTTCCCTCCTCCTGATAAATGTTCTCTTCCTCTTTCTTAATCCACCTTTCAGGGAATTCCTTAAAAAAATATATACTTCTTCCTGAAATCGGCTCTGATCATCCAGCCAGCAGGGAATTAGTGCTCTCTCCCTTCTCTGGACTCCCAATACTCAATTTGTACTCCCTTAATACTATGTCACACAGTGACTTAGAATTGCTTGTGTTCTATCCATAGCTTATCTTCCCAACCAGATTTTAATACCTGAAGATAGAAACGTCTTATTAATTTTTATATTCCTAACCAGAAACTACTATTAGATATTTAATATATATTGCTTAAATTCTTTGATATCACGTAAATATTCCTTGACTATTGAGTAAATAAATGGATAGGAAAATCCACGTTGCACAAAACTGGCTAAATCTCTTCTTACCAAAATGAAGCAATCTATCTCCCATAAAATCAAAAGTCATTATTACAAATGATCAGGGATAGGCAATTCTATCTAAACAGGCCACATGAGCTTTCCATTTCATTCAGTAAAAGACAAGTCTTTGCAGTGGTCTCTAAGGCCCTACATGATGTGACTCCCACTCGCACACTCTTCTTCCCTTGCCCTCTCCACTGTCTCCTTGATGCTCTGAGGATACTACGAACATGCTGCCATTTAGCACCTTGTGCTGACTGCAAATATTACCCACCAATCCCCTCACTTCCTTCAAGTCTTTGCTCAACTGTCACCTTCTCAATGACACCTCCCCTGACCATGCCATTTAAACTGTAATGCAAAACTCTCTTAACCACGTTATTTTTTTCTAGCATACAAAAGCACTTTCTTATTAGGTTGTCTT